CTCCATCTATTGATTACATGAACAAGGCTTTGACTTGTCAGATGTGCATGCATACCCTAACAGAGATAGACAGCATACTTGTTTGTGATGCCTGTGAGAAAGGGTTTCACTTAAGATGCCTCCAGACAACTAATCAAAAGGGAGTTCCTAGAGGGGAGTGGCATTGTGGAAAGTGCTTGTCGCTGAGCAATGGGAAACCATTGCCCCCAAAATATGGTCGTGTCATGAGAAACATTAATGCACCAAAAATGTCTTCCAGTGCAGCAGTTCCGTCACGTTCAAATAAAAAGGTTGCGGCTTCAGATGAGGTCAGTCAGCCAAAGATAATGGTCAATGCGAACTCTTCAATGCAACATGTACCTTCTGGTAGCATTAGCATTAATAATAGCCATTTGTTGTCTGGATCTAGTGGACCAGTTACGGTAAATGCTAAAGAAATGCAAGGTAATGATATTGATTCTAATGGGGCAAAGACTGATGACAAAATATCTTCCAGAACTTGCCAAAATAATCTGATGAAACCCTCTGGTGCCACTTGTGTTTCACTTACAAGCTCATCAGGTGGAAAATCATGTGACGGTGAACTGGTTGAATTAAAATCGAACGATCCTGTTAAGTCAGAGATCAGTTCGTCTATTCACTTACAAGCTCCTGGCAATGCACAAGATGGTAATGGAGTAAGTTTGCCAAGTGAAGAAGCAAGCCCGACAAAGATATCTTTTCAAAATCATGTTATGCCTAGGGGTTCCAAATACTCTTATGGCGTAGAAACGTCCAACTGTAAATCAAATCAACTAAATGAACAAGAAGTTATGCGAGAAAACCTTGCAGAAACTTTGACTGCCAGCGCTGGGAATTCGGAGCAGGGTAGATCTCCACCAGATGGATTGCATGCTGTTGATTGGATTGGGGATGCAATTCAAGTTTCAGATGAGAAAACCTATTATAAATCTTGCTGCATCGATGGACTTGTCTATGAACTCCTGGATTATGTTCTTATTCGCTTTGACAATGACAAATTAATTCCTTCAAAACTTCAGGTGATCAGTCATTGAACAATTTAATTTGTCACGAGACTATGATTTTGCTGAAATTTCAAAGTACGCATCAAGAATTTTCAAGATATTAACTCTCGGTTAGATAAGGAGGCCTTACTAAAGTGATGTGTGTTGGTTTTGTCAGAATTTAACGGGCTAAGTTTTGCATGGGTACAAATAGTAGTTGGGAACCCTTAGAACTTGCTCAAGCGGAGAGAGATGATCTCGTTTCGTGTGATTGCAAAGCGCATTTAGTTAAATTTAATATCAACCAAAAACATGTTTTTTTTTCCCTTCCCTGGAACATGTTGGATGTGATTGCAATTTAGAGGCAGGATAGGGGAGAAATTATATGGTTCTAGAACATTTTGTTACCAATTGTGATTAATTTCAGAGCACTTAATGATGAAGATGGAGACCTCAAATCAGATGCTTACTGGTTTTATATTTGGAACTTTGGAAAATATAACCTAGATTATAGGCTGTACAAGTGTACAAATCATACTAAGTCCTACAGATTGAGATGGATCTATTCAGTGTGGTGGTTAGTATGGCCCTACTCTTTGTTGCTCGGATTCTCCATTTTGGAGGAAGTACGCGTGTTGACACGACAAATATATGGGATCCGTTCGGATCCTTGAAATCTGAAGATGATCCTTCTTACCATTTTTATTATTTTGGTTTTGGATATAAAATGGTTTCTAGTGTGTATCTAACACTTCTATCCATGAAATGAAATCCCAATCAAGTATTACAATTTTCAATTTAATTAACACTTAATATACATGTATTCCTGAGAATGCATCTACAATTACCAGTATATGAATTTCAATAAAAATATAAGTTTGAAAGATGTATCCACATACATATATAAATTTTGGATCCTTTTAGTTGTATCTCCATATTCTAGATTTTAGAGAAAGGTCAGGCTCCTAGATATGTACTATCTGACGCTCACGCCCAAGTCCAAGCAAAACAGCTTGTCTATTACTGCACCTTGAGCAGACCTGAAATGTTGAACTGCTTGTCATTAGTTTTTCTAGTTGTTAAGGAATACAATAGCTTTGCTAAATTATGTCTCCATGAATTTCACATCAAAACTCTTTGTATTTTTTTCTGCAGGTCATGTGGGAGGATAAAAATACTAGAATGAAGTGGGTATCAGTCAATCGATGTTACTTTCCTGGTGATTTGCCTGAGGCCGTTGGCCGTCCATGTGGCCTGGAAAGCAGTGAGGTGATTTGTTTGTTTAATTCTTTTTATTTTTGTCTTAGCTTTATTTGTTGACCTGTATCTGATGAAAGGAGAGTACTTGATCGAAACAACACGGTCCTGTCTTTCTCAATTCACCAATAAACGGCATAATTTTGGTCCATTTCAATGGTTATTGTTGCATTAGGTGGAAATTTTTAATGATCCCTGGTGATCCTTTTTGAACTGAAATGAGCTTAAAGCATGAGAAAGATTCTTCTTAGTGTACCTTGGAGGATAGTAGAATTTTCTAAAAACCACATCTACTCTCCATCTCAAAGTAAATTGCCCCTGTGGCTGGGGCAAGTTTCTAGTCTAGGAATAAAAGTGGGAATGTTTTATATGAAATTTTAAGGATGTCCTGTCATGAATAATCCAAATGCGCAATACACAAGACGATGTTGACAGTCACTTCAATATACGAGTTCTGATTAATGGAAGGTAGTTTGAAACAATATATTTTGCTGTATCTCCGTATCCTAGATTAAACTACTCTTTTCTCCATATCAGTAAGGAGAATCGCTGCTTAATAACTATGATTAAATGTATTTCTTTTTTCTATTTTTACAGGTTTATGAGTCTACCCGTCTTAGCGAAATAATGGCTGGATTAATACAGAGCCCATGCAAAGTCCTTCCTCCAAGAAAGTTTGCTGAAGAAATTGAAAGGAGAACTCGTTCAAGGATGCAACCAAATGATCACTTGGAGCCACTTTATCTGTGCAAGTGTGCCTATAAACCTTTTTACTTTGATTTTAGTTCTTTCTTTAAATATAACTTCATTGGTGCACTCTTCTGGGAAGTTTTGTTAGACAATGTCATTTAGCTTTATCCAGTGGTCAATCCTTGATTGTGAGTAATGAGTCCAATCTTCGCATAATATGATTTGGTGATAATCGAAATCTTGAAGAACTTACTTATCAAAGTTTCCCCTAGTCTTGTTAAGGGAACTATTATCACTTTATAACTGAGTCTGGGACGCACCATGTCACTTGTTCCCTCCTGTATCTTCACTTTTGTGCTTCCTCCAATACATAGAACGGAAATGTTCTGCCTGTAGGCTCTCTGCTCTGATGTTGACCATGGAAGCTATTGTTTTAAGGTGTAGAATTTTAGCTGAATGTTTCTTTATTTTCATTAAATGAATGGATTGATAAATGAAGAGTCAGTTTGATTGTTATGATGAACAGTTACTTGCGACAACGTCTAGTTGATAATGATTCGGCTCTCTTGTTAGAAGCAGTCGATATTCCAACTATTATTGATCACCTTCAGTTTTTACATTTTAGATTCTTTTCTTTGGATGTATACTGTTTGTTTTTTCCCATTTGGGAGACGAGAAAAAATGTGGGGTAGGGAGTTTGTTGCGTCTCTATTCTCTTTACTAGCACTGATTGGAGCTGTTTTTTAACACGCCTTTGGCTATTCTTTTACTTTTTCATCAGTTGTCTCATCCATCTACTTTAATCCATTCATGTATCTCTTGTGCAGATGGATATATGATGAATCAAAAGGGCTATTTCGTGACATTTCCTGTTAATTATGGATTAGAAATACCATTGTCACAATGTTCTCCATTCTATTGTACTACCTGTTGCTGAAATTTTGATCAGGTACTTGATTCATGGCTTTATCTGTCTGATAACAAGTCTTTACTGTAAAAGCATGGTGTATTTAAAGCAACTTTTTTCTACATGGCAGCATATTGTCCATTAAGACGAGCAATCGATTTGAACAAAAAATGCTGTAAATATCCTCATAATCACACACACTGTTAACTTAAAATAGGAAAAACCGAGATGTTAAATTATAAATGAATTAAACATTTAGATATCAGACAAATCAAGGAGTGATCAGAATTAATCTAACTTGCGGAAGAGACATTGACACCATATCTATAAACTTATCCTAGATAGCACTTTGGTAATACTTGAGTAAATTTAAAGTTGGCTTTCCCACTTTTTATGGCAGGAGATAGAATGCTAATCAATATGATGGTGCAGTTAATGGATTCTGTGATTGTTTTATATGATCGGCAAACAGATTTCTCTTTTTCTCTTACCCTATTTTCTGTAGAAGCAAAAAAGAACGAAGACATGAATCATGCCAATTACTTTAACATGAACTATTGTTTGTGGCAGGTATCTTTGTTGCAACAGATTTCAGTTTCTGTATTAGCTTTAGTTGTAGTCTAGTCCGTACTTGGTATCATTTCACCGCCAGGGATGCTAATGGAACCGTTTCTAGGGGCTCATAATTCAAAGGGTGTACATATCGTTGGATGTAAATGTGACAGGCCTGTCTTCTACCTTTGTTTTCTGATTATTTAAAAATATTGGTATAATAAAAAGATATCATTTTCAGCCAAGGGTGTGTCTTTTTAATTTTTCATTTGATATTTCTTTCTTCCTCTTTTTGCAAAATTTTTAAAAGAGGAAATATCAATGTGTACATGAGATTATATTTGGTTTTTAGTTGCTCTTTTGCTCCTGATTGGAGCCGTCTTATTATCCCGTGTATTCCCTGACATGCACACAGGCAGAAATCCTAAGCAAAAACACAGTTCCTATAAAAAAAACTATGGAATACACTAGTAACCAAACATGTCATGTTTGCTTTATTTTCTATACATCTTCTCGTCAAAACTACTATGATCATAGAAGTACAACAGGAGACGACGTATCTCCGATGAAAAGGAATCTTCCATTCATTCTCATGAGTTTGTCTGTGGTGATACGAGTAAGAATACATCAGCTACTACTGGATTTCTAAAGCTTACTATCTTCTTCATCTTTCCGCTTTCGTTTGTGCATAATGAGGTATTCTCCAACTGCCCCTTTTCGCTTTTATTAATCTCCATTGGAGTCTCCACAGGAAAACTTGCTTTAGAATTAGGCTCAAAATCTTCATGTTCTCCATCAAATGATGGATGGACTCTATTAGAAGTTTGTTTAGATACATGTAATTCACCTCCACTGGCACTGGTACTCAAACCTGGCGAAGATAAAATCCAATCCTCGAAGGTTACCACCTTAGAGGTATCTTCAAAAGCTGCTGCTGATATTCTTGTCCATGAAACTGCTTTTTTCCTATTTTCATGGCAGCCCATGATCTTCTTGGCTTCATGAATTTCATCAATGATCCTTTTAGACCGCTATCATGTAAATCACCTCCACTGGTATAGCTTCTGTTGGGACCTGGTGAGGATAAAATCCATTCCTCTAGAGTAACCACCTTACTAGTAGGCGGGATTGGATGACACTGTGCAGTATCGAAGTAGAATAAAATGGTTAAAATCTTATTTGTTTTCTTGGGCAATACTCTCTAGTACCATATATTACACATACCTTACTCGTATTCTTTGAACGCTCCTCCTGCTGCTGTTGCTTCTCTTGTCCATGAAACTGCCTTCTGCTTATTTTCGTGGCGGCCCATAAGCGTTTTGCCTTTATGAAGTTCATTGCCAGTGGTTTTAGACTGCCATTTTCGTCGTCAGCTTCATGTGTGGTTAATCTGTTGGGACTGGCTTGCTCAGCACCGCAGAGATGGATACCAAACTGATGTATTCCTAAACCCAACTGAATTCTAAGCAATTGTATTATCGTTTAATCAATAGAGATGGCTTTTACATCCAAACTAGACCCATATTTTGGAACTGCCCATGTTTTCTCCTTCCCCAATTATTTTCATTTCATACAAAGGATGCCTTGGAGTTTATCAACATTGTCCAAGAGTAAACTCGTAAACTTTTGGCTTATTCTTCTAGGCTAAAGCATGCGTTAAATGGATATCGGCTAGTAGGAAAACTTGTTTCACAGCCTTAAACGTTTTAGCAAGCAAGTTTTATATCGAAACAAATGATTGCTTTAACACCGACAAGTATCCAAAAAGAGAGTGGACCCCCGAGTTGAACACAGCAAAAATCATTCAAATTCGAGACAAAAAATTAACCACCGTTGGCAAACTGGTAAGGGGACAAAGGCGAAGGACTAGAGCCATCGAAGTACGATTGTCATGGAGTTGTGGTCAGGCACATGACCTCTCCATTATCCTGATCAAGCAACTGCTTGCCTAAGTCCAATGAATGATTTATAAAAAATTCGGCCCCATTCGACCGTAGCGTATCGCAACAGAAACAACGTTGAATCGAGAGGGTTAACTGCAATTGTTGCAGCCTTGTGTTCAACTCTGAATCATTCAAGCCACAACATTTTATCTCTTACTCGACGGCGAAAGTATCCTACCTTGAAAGTGTAGGACAGTCGTCCCACTAAAGTTTTTCGGGGGTAATTATGTAAAATGACGAAAAAATATCAAAGGTTCACTCTTTGGGCCTCGTGGGTGCGATCGAACGTGTGCTGTTTCAAGAACCTCGTATACCAAAAAGTGCGAAAAAGCTCAACCTCCAAGGCATTTCGAAGAAAGCGACATCTCTCAAACTCTCTTCTTCAGGATATTTCTGCTTCAAACTCTACCCACATATTTTCTCTGTTATTCGAAAAGCGACAGTTGAGGAGAGAGCAAAACTACGGCGAGAAGAAAATGGAAGGAGGGGGTACGAGACTTGGCCGGGCCTCCTCGAGGTACGGTCCAACCCAACCGCCGCCTGTGTTCGACGGTCCAGTTAGAAAGTGGAAGAAGCAGTGGGTCAGTTCTCAGTCCAGTAGCAGCGATAGCAAACGGAAAAGCACCCCTTCGATCCTCCTCTGCAGATGGACCCCGCTATCTTCTACTGCCACCGCCGCTGACTCGGCCAACCCTGATCAAACGCCCAAGCGCCGCTGCCGATACACTCCGGTAATGGTTTTTTTTTTCCCCACTGTTGGGTTTTCTTCTTATCTCCTTTTCTTTCTCTATTTTAATTTTTTTTTTTCAATAATTCCCCCTTTTATTAGTTCTCCGTGTTTTAGGACTGCTATTTTAAAAAAGATTACCTTTTCAAGTTAAAATTGGGTTAGATACACTGTACACTACTATCGAATCTTATACTGCATGCCAAACGCGCCCTTGGGCCAAAAAGATTTTCTGTTTCATACAAATCAAGAAATGAGTGTGCTTGGTGGATTCTTGTAGCACGCACGGTAAGTTAGATCGTAAAGTGAGAAAAAAAGGTTAAAGTCTTGTCTATTGTAGCATTAATGATTCTTCCCTGCTGGTTATTCATTGAGTTGCATTGCAGATTGTTCCAATAGAAAAGGAGAAGAAGGAAGCTCAAGAAAAGGTTAGCAATGAAGGCAGTACAAGCAAGGAGAATCAATCTAAAGCCAGTGCAAACATGGGAAGTGATAATATTTTCGAAAATCCCAGCATTGGAGATATCTCTAAGGAAGATACTCAGGTGATTTGCACTCTTCTTTATAATTTATAATCTAATGGCATGTTTTATCCTGGATTGAGTCCATGTTAGATATGCAGAGTACTGAATGAGGATTGGATGGTATGGATTTTGAATCCACCTTTAGTATGCCATACTGAATGAAATGAGATTTTAATTTTAGTGCTATTCAACCCTCCATATTTGAATCGTGCTATCAAATCGAACAAATCGATATCCTTGCACTAATCAATGAATCATGTATGTAGATTGAAACTCTAGTGCCTGAATGCATCCCTAATCTATATTTCTGACAAAGTTATATATGTACAGATTTACGCACAAATTGTATTCATTAATCTACTACTATCCAATTTACCTTACCAAACATGCCGATCACTGTGGTGATAGCTTATCAATTCTTTAGAACTCGGCTTGTGGATATGGAAATATGTGATGCTAGAATATTTCGGAGTTACCTTTTCTATTGCAGGAAGTGAGTGAAGGTCAATCCGATTCCAATGACTTGGATGGGGAAGAAGATAGCTAAGTTGGGTAGAGAAATGTTACATGGAAGTTCATTCAACACCAATTATTACTCCCCAAACCCGATCCCCTATGCCCCCCCCCACCCCCCACCCCCCCGACTATTCTATTAGGGATTATCGTGTAGCTACATGTAGACTCTGCCATGTAATTAAGATCCAGTATTGACAATGGTTCTCTCTTTTCTGTGTGTACAAATTAAGTGCAGTTAAGAATGACCATCACAAACTTGCTGTTGTATTCAAGAGTCTATTTTCATGTGTTTGGTATGTTAGATTAAAGCAACCTGTGCATGATCAATAACTAAAAAAACTAATATATTATCTATTACAATGTATAGTATTGCATCATATGACACGACCACGTCATAGCACAAATTCATACTACTAGGGAAAGTTGTGTGGTATATTTCTCTATGCAAGAAAAAAAATGTGTCTGCACACTTGGACACAACATATGCAAGTTCAAGACGCTCAACAAGCACCTTTATTGATACTGGCTCCTACGGATCCCGCGGGAATTTTTTTTCCATACTCAAATGCATTAACATGAATCTTCTCGAAGCAATTTGAACCGTTTCTAAATCCATTCTAAAACTACAATAATTTAATCTGAAAGGAGAAAATAAGGTTCTATCCTCTACTGAAAACAGTACCTGAAGTACATTGTTGATTTCATGTATCTGCTTACTCGCTGTCGACTGCCACCGTCACACCAACTTCTGCAGGCCGTATAACTCGGTCATGCAGCATGTATCCAGCCTGCATTTTAAAAATACAGAACAGCACATTGCTTAGGATTTGTAGACATCTTTTGTAAGGTCAAGAATTCACAATCTTTCAGAAGAAATGCGATCGGGTGATATTCAAAACCGAATCATAACTAGAAAAATCACACAACTTTGAAGAAAAGAAATTAAAACCAATCAACAACGTGAACCAGAATGAACAATGTACAGCCTGTGTTATCAATTTCCTGACCCCAACCACAGGTTTCAAAGTAAAATATATGTCATCCTCCAATAAAAGAACAAGTTCCACAAGGTTAATAGTAATAGTAATTTGATCCAGCTGCTCTGTTTCTCCAAAAACAACTGCACATAAAATGTTAAATAGAGAACAAAATTGTGTGCTTATTGCAGCTCAGATACCTTTAGCACAACTGCAACATGGTCCACTGGCTTTGAAGCATCTGGAACTTGAAACACAGCATTATGTCTGTTTGGATCAAATTCTTCATTAATCGGATCATACTTCTCTACTCCAAACTTTTTGAATACCTGCAGATGACAAGCTTGTAAGTGCAGCACAACAATTCTAATTGGTTATGAATGTTGATGATGAGGCTCATCACAGCCTGAGGATTCGATGCATAACAAAGACTTCCTAGGATACGACAGAATTTAAACAGTTGACAATCAGCTGAGTTCAATATGTCCAAAGAAGATGAAGGATGAACAAACAGCATTACTGATATTATACTGGAGCCTCCTGTATTGATGTCAATCTAATGGTACGAGTCTCCACAACTTTGGAGTAAAACTATGGACGGTTCTGCTCATATTCTAAACCCCCAACACAGAAACGTAAGCATATTATCTCAAGCAATACTTTTTTATAGAAGCAGGCCAATGGAACATACATGATTAAAAAGAAGGGAAAGGACACAATATGTTATGAGACAGAAATTATAATACCTCCGTTAGTTGTTTTTCAGTCATTTCAACACCTTCAAGAAGTGTTTTAAGTTGAGGAACAGACCCGGAAGCATCATTAGATGTATCAATCTTTGAAAAGCCCTCTCTTGCAGCAGCAGAAGCCCTACCCAGATTATCTGCCACGTCCAAAAGGCTTTTTGCAAAATTCTGCAGCATAATTCAAATCAACATTAGAGCAACACTCACAAATACCCTAAGAACTGCAAAGAACCTGTGGCTCCCCCTGAAACATGTAATGCAAACTAAAAATATAAGGAAAACCTGAATGGCGAATTTCTTTGTGTTCTCTGCTTCACGTCTAGTGCGTTCCTTCACGTTCTCCATCTCTGCGTAAGTCCTCAAAATCTTGTCCTTCATTTTCTCATGCTCTTCCTCTTTCAGCTTCACAAGTTCTTCCTTCTCCACCACAAGTTTCACCAGGTCATCTCTTGTTAGGTCACTTTGCAAATCTGAATTAGGATTAGAAAACACAGTTTGTTTAGTGATTCTACTTTTGACAACCTGAAATGCATTAGAGGTTCCATATTAAAACCTGACTTATTTTTTTCATCAGAAACAAATGCTTCTGTTCGATCAACAGCAGCAGCACCCTCTGCCTTATCTTCCTGTTCATTTCCAGATTGAGCAGTCTCCTTTTCATTGGGCTGTGGAGATGCTGATGACGAGAATCGAAACCATTGAAAGGAAGATGATTTTAGGGCTGAATGATGCAGCAGTGACACCTGACCAGGGACAACCTGAATTGCAAGATGCATGCAGTTCCTTAATATATATAATTTTCTGGAGAAGTTATAATTATATTATTAAAAGAATAATAATAAGGCAAACAAGAAACGAATGCAAAATGCAAAGTTGGTGATGTGGCTGATACAAGATAGGGTTATCATACAAAGTACCTTCAAGCATCTCAATGCCACTAAATCTTGTGTTGATGCTAAACTAAAGGTGCTTTTGAAGCTTTTATTCAAACTACTGAGATGCTAGACAAAATCAAAAGATTCAAAACAAGCCAACTTTCAGAGTATGAGACTATCTGAGAAACCAACAAGCATCAAATTACTACTGAGATGCTAGACAAAATCAAAAGATTCAAAACAAGCCAACTTTTAGAGTATGAGACTATCTGAGAAACCAACAAGCATCAAATTTAACACCTGCCTCATAGGAGGATAGAGACAAACGAGACTAGCAAGCTAGGCATCTATTGATCGCAAATTGACCGCTGCTACCTTCAATAAACTCTCACATACTTTTGAGCTTTATAGTTCAGCATTAGGAGCTACTGGTAAGATTATAATTTATATTTTAAGATAACAATACATAGGATAGTTTTCAGTTTATATTTTAAGATAATAAGACATAGGGTAGTTTTCACGAGATAACTCCCATGTTAGAGATCACTTAGGAATTCAAGCTCAATCTAGAAACTAGAAACTAATTGCAACTGGAAAAATAACAGAATCGTAGAAATAGATTTTAAAGTCTCACCAAACACAAGTAACAAAGCACTTCACTTGTCTACCCTGAACCATCATGCAGATGCATACTACAAACGCTAAATAGAACTCGGATGACTTACAAAATAAACTAGTGTGAACTAGCACAACATATAGTGCTAAATTTATCACAATATCTCCAAAACTACTGGTGGGAATGTCAAAGCAAGCTATCAATCAAAGACAAACATAGTCATTGACTCCTTAAAAGGATAGTTGCTAAAAACGAACACACACATTCTAAAAGGTGAATAGAAGGCCTAAAAAGAAAGAAAAAATGTAAAGAAATTAAGAATCACAAGAAGGGTAGAACTTGAAGTGAATGGCCGAAATTGGAAATAACCAAATTCGCAGCAGCCTAACCACTACAAACAGAACCCTCTCAAGGCTAAAATCCTAGATATGATTACTCTTATACATCTTCGCCGAAATGCAAGGAACTATTTCAAATAAACTAACAATATTGGAACATCAAAAGGCACAAAAAGTATGAAACAAGAATGTATTATATCAAGATCATCAATTAAAGTATAACTGATACACTTATTACAAACCACACTTTTTTATGAAGTAGCATCAGAATTATATTCTTAAATGCCGTATTATTATTAGAAAAGTCTTCTTCGAATCAAAAATCAAATAACCAAATTTATGCAGAAAATTATCCTAAAAACTCGCTAAAACCCTACCACAATCCTAATTGACAAAAATAACAGTACCGTATTCCGGGGGCCATGGGGAGACAGGAATTGATTGGACAGAGCGGAAACACATTTGTGGTCACGACGTTGGCAAAATAACAGCGAGTTGCGGAACTGAGTCAACACCGTCCTTGGAAATCGATTTGCTATTCTGCTCATCGACATGTTTTGAGTGGCTCCAGCACTATTCTTAATTTGATTTTTATCAGAGTATTAATCTGGGAAGATTAAGAAGGAGAAGAAATGGCGGTAGAGGTCGAGAAGAAGTAGTAGGGTTTAAGGAGGAGAGGGAAAGTAGGCTGGACGTGGTAAGGAAGAAAAGTTTTTGAGTTAATTGTTTCAATAATCACCAAACTTATGTCATGCTCGATTTAATCACTAAACTTCAAAGTATTTCACAGTACTCACTGAATTTTGTCCGTTTGTACTCCATTCACTTTCAAAAATTCGTTTCATTATTCACTGACGTGGCTAACGAAAATCTAACGTGACATGTTACGACCGTTAAAAAAATTACAATTCAACCAAACTATTATTTCATTATTCATCCAACTTACACTTGGACATAGTTTACTCATCGAACTTCAAAATGCTTCCCAATCACTCATCTTTGAGATGTTGTACTCCATTCATCATCCGTCATATTTCGTTCCCTTTATTGCTAATGTTCGCACAAAAATTCCACATGGTAAGTTATAAATGTTAAAGAAATTACAACTTAACAAGATTATCAACTCATCAAAAGCATCATATGTGAAACGTGAAGCATAACTCGTTCTCTCGGAAATTGATTTTTGAAAATACTTTGTTTATATTTCACACATTTGAGATTTGACTTATTATTACATCCAATTAATTGCCCATGTTTGGTCCCCATTATTTTGTATTTTAAATTTTTAGAATAGTGATTGATGGGAGAATGTGTGGTTGAAATTTTTTTGATTTTATTTGATGAATGTGTGGTTGAAATGAAGAGGGAGAAAAATTTAATATAATGTAATGTAATTTAATGGGGGCCAAACAAGGGTGTGTAATCTTCAATTATTGTTTTATATTTCGAATCAACTATTAGATATTTTTGATTAATTTTCCGTTTAACCTGTGTTTGGTACACTTCTTTTAAACTTATTTTTTTGAAATTCATTTTCAATCGTATTCTTTCAATAAAACTTTTTTGCACATTAATTCATAATTTTTTCTAACTTTTTAATTACATATATCCAAAAAATCACTTTTACCTTTTATTTTTTTTAGTTTTACTACTTTATTTATTGATTAATATTTTGCTAGTAAATTGCATTTGTTAAAACTATTCATGTGCTAACCTGATTCATTGTTGGTAGGGCTTATAGGCTTTTTTTTTTTTTTGGGACAAAGTTGAATTCAACTTATCGATTGGTGTCGAGTCTTTCGGGTGCTCAATCAAAACTAAGTTTTTGATGCGCTAAATTGTAGTCGAGTTTAAAGAGTATTGTTGGCGCCCAATTTTCATGTGTCGACCATGGTTGAGTCTTACCGTTTTTGTTCGGAGTTGAGTAAATAATAAGCCGTAGTCATCCACGACATTATATCACAAAACAATAGAAAACTACCATTTCTTTGAAATTTAAAACTAGTGAAATACTATCCCCAAATTTTCATAACGTAAACGTAGTATATGCTTATGCATAGAGCATAGTATTTAGAGCATGTTTGTAAAGTGTTCAGACGATATTATCGAGAACTTTCTTAAAAATTAAGTCATAGGGTGGAGAGTTTATGGATAGGCCTTGGGCTTTTAAACCCTATGGTAACTCCCGCTTGCAATAAAGCCAATTCCACCTGTTTCATTATTCATCCAACTTACACTTGTACATAGTTTACTCATCGAACTTCTACATGCTTCCCAATCACTCATCTTTGAGATGTTGCACTTCATTCATCATTCGTCATATTTCGTTCCCTTCATTGCTAATGTTCGCACAAAAATTCCACATGGTAAGTTATAAATGTTAAAGAAATTACAACTTAACAAAATTATCAACTCAACAAAAGCATCATATGTGAAACGTGAAGCATAACTTGTTCTCTCAGAATTTGATTTTTGAAAATACTTTGTTTATATTTCACACATTTGACTTATTATTACATCCAATTAATTATGTGTGATCTTCAATTATTGTTTTATATTTCGAATCAACTATTAGATATTTTTTATTAATATTCCGTTTTAACCTGTGTTTGGTACACTTCTTTTACACTTATTTTTTTGAAACTCATTTTCAATCGTATTCTTTCAATAAAACTTTTTTGCACATTAATTCATAATTTTTTCTAACTTTTTAAGTACATATATCCAAAAAATCACTTTTACCTTTAATTTTTTTTAGTTTTACTACTTTATTTATTGATTAATATTTTGCTAGTAAATTGCATTTGTTAAACTACTCATGTGCTAACCTGATTCATTGTTGGTAGGGCTTATAGGTTTTTTTTTTTTTGGGACAAAGTTGAATTCAACTTATCGATTGGTGTCGAGTCTTTCGGGTGCTCGATCAAAACTAAGTTTTTGATGCGCTAAACTGTAGTCGAGTTTAAAGAGTATTGTTGGGGCCCAATTTTCATTTGTCGACCATGGTTGAGTCTTACCGTTTTTGTTCGGAGTTGAGTAAATAATAAGCTGTAGTCATCCACGACATTATATCACGAAACAATAGAAAACTACCATTTCTTCGAAATTTAAAACTAATGAAATACTATCCCCAAATTTTCATAACGTAAACGTAGTATATGCTTATGCATAGAGCATAGTATTTAGAGCATGTTTGTAAAGTGTTCAGACGATAATATCATCTTGAAAGAATTTTTAATTCAGTAGAATCAGTTTTGCACAGTTGTCTTGTGAATATTTTCTCATTGAACAACCCACCAGTTTCTTCCTCAATGCCTTTATTCAGCAGTTGCATGCATTAAATAGGTTCACCTGTAAAGTTATTTACTTGATTTGAATTAATGATGCAATGACAAAGACCAACTCAATAACGTGTCTCACGACAAAATTCTAGTACCAAATTTTGAGGTTTGAAACATTTATTTAGTACAAAAGTCTTGAACTTTGAAGTGCTTCAATAAGAAATTTTCATTTTGATCTTTTGTTTTAGAAGCTAAACCTGTTACAGGCTAGTAAGAAAGGACATGAAAATGGCATTCCATTCCATTGCTTTGATCTTCGTGTTTCAGCTATTGCAAATCCCCGAAATTGATGCTAAAGTTTCATCGATTATAGTGTTTGGCGATTCTACAGTGGATTCCGGGAACAATAACTTTATCGCTACAGTTTTGAAAAGCGATTTCAGGCCTTATGGTCGGGATTTTGACGGCGGTCAATCCACAGGACGGTTTTCCAATGGACGGGTTCCGACAGATTTCATCTCCGAAGCTTTCGGATTGAAACCAACCGTGCCTCCATACTTGGATCCAGCTTACAGTATAAAGGATTTTGCTTCAGGAGTTTGTTTTGCATCAGCTGGAACTGGCTATGATAATGTTACCTCTAGGGTGCTTGTAAGTGTTTCTTGGATGTGTATTTTAGATCTAGCATCATGGTATATTGAACATGCCCTAACCTGCCCATGCCCCCTACCCCTTCTAGATTAAAGGCGCAGTCGAGGGGATACAATGGGGTAAGAAGTGCTAAGTTGTGGAGTTTAATTATTATCGTTGTGTAATTTTCTTTAATGAACTTCTTTTCATCATAGTAAATTACTACAATGGCAAAAGCGGATGTAGTCTCACATTGAGGACAACCTCTATAAATCTTGCATGTTCTTGAGTGTATATTTTATTGCTCTTGATAGAATAGAATTAGGATTTCTAATTCTCAGCAGGAAGAAGGGGTTAGAGATAAAGGTGCGAAAGAATATGACATGACAAAGCTTTAAATAGAGAAGGAGCAAATATCGTCTTAGGACGACGTATATGAATGCATTTTAGCCTTGTTTTTTCCCTTTTTCTTCTTCTTCTATTGGTTCTGAGTTTTCTCTTCATTCTTCCTGTCTCTTCAACAGTTTTTACTTCAAAACCTCTATACTTAATTACCACACTTTAAATAAACTTATGCTGCATCTATGCCTGATTGAAACTCCAATTGCAGTCTGTAATACCTCTGTGGAAAGAACTCGAATACTTCAAGGAATACAAAAGCCGACTGGAAGGCTATCTGGGTAGAAAGAAGGCAAAGAAAATCTTGACAAAAGCTCTATACATTATCAGTATGGGCACGAATGATTTCTTAGAAAACTATTACGTGCTTCCACACAGATCATTCGAGTTTTCTCCAGAGGACTACCAGAAGTTTTTAGTTGGCATAGCACGATCCTTCATTACCGAGATTTACCACCTTGGAGCACGAAAAATATCCTTAACTGGACTCCCTCCAATGGGCTGCTTGCCACTGGAGAGAACACTAAATTGGGGAAATTGTGTAGCAAGGTACAATTATGTGGCCAGGGAGTTTAACCAGAAGTCGAAAGCATTAGTTGAAATACTGAATGACGAGCTTTCTGGAATTCAACTGGTGTTCTCAAATCCATACTATATTCTTTACAAGATCATTCGGGATCCTCAGTCTTTTGGTAATAAGTTTGATATGATATTTCACCTCGATTCTGATTAAATTGACTTGTTGATTGCTAGCACATTGTGTAAAATATGATCAACAGTTTTGATTTGCTGATGCTTGTGATGTGATGCAACTTCGCAGGATTCGTAACTGCAGCAACTGCTTGCTGTGGGACTGGAAGATTTGAGATGGGTTATCTGTGCAACGAACATGATCCCTTTACGTGTACAGATGCGAATCAGTACGTATTTTGGGATTCATTCCATCCTACGGAGAAAACAAATGGCATACTAGCACATCATGCTGCCAGAACATCTCTTGCGATATTTAAATAGTAAAGAGGAGAGATTGCATTTAGATTTATTTTCAGGAATTTCTAAGGATTTTGCCGGTACTTATATGAGGCAGGAAGATGTTTTTATTAGACTACATGGTTTATAATATTATATTAAATGTCACATAAGCTGATGATCATTTTATGGGCGATTTTTTTCCACCTGCTTTTAGAATATTTCAAAATTGCCCTTCCCAATTCGTTGGAGGAGACTTTCGCGTCTCTTGATCTTCATGATTTAATAACTGACAAAGTTATGTTAACCTTTTATACACGTCGTATTTTCACAATATTAGTTGATATTAACATGGACATATCTACATATATTATATTTCTTGAAAGTTAAAACCGTAATTACAAGTTAATAACATTCACAATTAATTATCATCGACACTTAAAAGTGGAATCAGTTCCAACAGTCTAATGAACTAGCAGACTACTAATTAAGCAACCATGGTTCAAATTAGTTAGTTACGTAGCTCACTAGTTGATTCTTATTCGTTATTGACCTACAAAATTTGGTATTTCCCTAATACAATAGTAATATATCGCATTAAAGGGATCCTAAAGTTTGAAGCATTTATTTTCAATAGTCCCCGTCTAACAACTTATGCTAGCTTTTAGTTCGAACTGTTCAATATAGTGTGTATATATATATATAATAGATGCGTTGGGTTTGTTTCTTTAGCCCACCGTAGAGGGGGAGTGCGTCGTGAGTTTAGCCTCAGTGCATAGAGAGTGAGTAAATGGATGCATCGCCATGTTTTACAACTGAGACGCGATTTTACCATAACGATTTAGCCCCTGAAACTTATCCGTTAAGTTTGATGAAAGAGAGGGAGCATTCTCAAGAATTTAATGCCTGCAACTCTGGCAAACATAATAAGGTTCGGATTACTCAAATCTTATAGCCTGAAATTAAATGAATTATGGTTTTGGAAGCCCACATTTGAATTTCTTTCCTGCTTACTCTAACTGAAATGCTGCAGTCTGAAATACTGATAACATTACATTAAATTCTATTGGTATGCTCGACTGGAAAGAACAAAAAGTTAAAAAACATTTTGACTGTTGTGCAGTGTTGCACAGTAACGCATAACCAAACATATCGAATGGTTTATGATGTGTATCAAATCTGCAGGTTGTCATTAATATGAAAATTAATGATTTCCACTCATTTAAGGTTGTCATTTTAATCCTATAAAATTGTGTTGCGTCTTGTTAAGTACATGTTAGAAGCTAAACGTGCTACAAACTATTAAGCAAGGCCATGAAAATGGCATTCCATTCCATTGCTTTGATCTTTATATTTCAGTTCCAGCAAATCCTTGGAATAGATGCTAAAATTTCGTCTATTATAGTGTTTGGTGATTCTTCAGTGGATTCTGGGAACAATAACTTCATTCCTACGATTTCAAGAAGTGATTTCGTGCCTTATGGTCGGGATTTTGAGGGTGGTCGACCCACTGGACGGTTTTCCAACGGACGGATTGCAACAGACTTCATCTCTGAGGCTTTCGGGTTGAAACCAACCGTGCCTGCTTACTTGGATCCGGCTTACACTATAGAGGATTTTGTTTCAGGAGTTTCTTTTGCATCAGCTGGAACTGGCTTTGATAGTGCTACCTCTACAGTGCTTGTAAGTGTCTCTTGGATATGTATATTAGATTAAGCCCTAGTCTGGTGACGATTTTAAGCTGCCAAAAAAATGATTTTATTACCGTTGGGTGTGCAACGGTCAAATAATCAACAAAGTTGCTAAGAGAGAAAAGTCAAATATGATGACTCAACGGCTGGAATTTTGATTTCAAGCGATCCTAGAGAAGACCTAAGTATAATGATAATTTATTGAACATAACCCAACCCAACCCTGTTCCTCCCCTTCCCATCTGCTGCATCCCATCCCCCTTGTTGCTCGGGAGACTCCGGAGTAGCTACTTGGCAGCTACTCCAGGTGGCGGTAGGGGGTAGGGAAGACGCAGGGAAGGGGACACGTGCAGGGAGGAAGGGGCGGAGATAAAGGTGGGAAGAATATAATACGACTAAGGTGAATATCGCTTTTTATAATACTAAAGTAAACATTTTCTTTTAAATGATAAAAAAATTAATAGTTTCCTTAATGAACTATCCATCTCGAGTTAATCCAAGTTATAGTTGGAATCATTGTTTAAATTACACACACACACATAGTAGTTTAAAAGTATAGTGGCTCAAATAAAAGTTCGGAAAAAGTTGGGGCTCAAAACAAATTTTGGGACTTGTGCACGCACGCACAAAGGGAAGAAAAAAATTTCGCGCACAAGGCCCAATGCTCGATCACTAGAAAAATGAAGAGTAAAACCACTTTACTTGAAAATGGTTGATACCTCAGGTGATCGACCCTCACATTGCGCGTGGGTCCCGCGTGAATAAAAATAATGCCCGACTCCCGAGGTATGTGTGTCCGGTCATCCCCTATGTCATCTCGTATGTTCGTGTAGCATGATTCAAAAATGAATTTCTGGTTCGAAAAGTTGCATCTTTTTGCCTATAAAGTCTTGACTAATCCTCGAGGGGGAGCATAAATCTTTTAGGACAGCGTTTATCAATGTGTTGGAGTATGCTGCATCTAAGCCTAATTAAATTTCCATTTGTAGTCAGTAATACCTCTGTGGCAAGAACTCGAATACTACAAAGAATACAAAGGGCGGCTGGAAGACTATCTGGGAAACAAGAAGGCAAAGAAAATCTTGACCGAAGCTCTATACATAATCAGCATGGGAACAAACGATTTCTTAGAAAACTATTACGTGCTTCCCATCAGATATTTCGAGTTTTCTCCTAATGACTACCAGAAATTTTTAGTTGACATAGCACGATCCTTCATTACTGATATTTACCACCTTGGAGCACGAAAAATATCCTTAACGGGGCTCCCTCCAATGGGCTGCTTGCCACTGCAGAGAACGCTACAAGGGGGAAATTGTGAAGCAATGTATAATCATGTGGCCATGGAGTTCAACAAGAAGTTGAAAGCATTAGTTGAAACACTGAATGACGAGCTTTCTGGAATTCAACTTGTGTTCTCAAATCCATACCATGTTTTTTCCAAGATCATTCAGGATCCTCGGTCTTTTGGTACCATATCTTAATTCAATCTGTCAAATTGTCTTGCTGATTATCAGCACATTGTGTAATATACATGATCAACAGTTCATATTTGCTGATGTTTGTGATATGCGATTTGGCAGGATTCCAAACTGCAGTAACTGCGTGTTGTGGGACGGGAACTTTTGAGATGGGTTATCAGTGCAATGAATTTACTCCCTTTACGTGCACAGATGCGAATCAGTACGTGTTTTGGGATTCGTTCCATCCTACGGAGAAAACAAACTTCATACTAGCAGATTATGCTGTCAAAACATCTCTTGCTATATTTAAATAGTAAGTTAAGCGGAGAGATAGCATTTAGCTTTATATCAAGAATTTCTATGACTTTTGCTGGTACTCATGAGGCATGAAGAGATGGTTATCTTGCATTAAATTCTTTAGTGCAAGACTTTATTTTGAAAAAAAATATATATATATATCCAATTTGAAGCCTCCGATGATGAATTCTAAGAAAGATACTTCGCATCAATTGTTTTGTCCTACTACTTTGAATGTACTTGTTTTCTTAGGAGCAATTATCTAGATCGTGTTATTTTTAGGCAAAGACACCTTTGAAACTAAGCATAACATGTCCGAACTGTCTAGTTTGCCGTTTCTTAGTTTGTAAGGTGCCAAAAAATATCATCACCTTATCTATCATTCATTGAGATATTTACTATATTTATATTTTTTCAAAATTTGGCGTAGGTAATTATTGAGCATTCCATTATTAGCGAAACTTCAAGATTTATATTCACAAGCTAGATTAATTTACACTTTATCGAGGATTTCGCAAATATTTTCTATTTGCCGTTGAACTTAAAAGCTCTCATACTTGTCAATGTTTCCAGTTATTGAACTTTAAAAGTTCTTCGAGTTGCTACTGAACTTACCAAAATATTATTGGACTTGTCACTCGCCATTTTAGAAGGTGATAGATTCTATGAACTTACCAAAATTTTATCACATCTACAATTCCATCTACCATGTCATCTGGTCCATTAACTTTTAAAACGACATGTTATGGAGTGAAGAATGTGATAACATTTTGGTAAGTTCAGTAGCAATTCGAAGAACTTTTAAAATTTAATGACAACTGGGAAACATTTGAAAAAATTCGAGACAACTAGAAGAGATTTTAAAGCTTAATGACAATTAAGAAACGTTTGTCAAAGTTCAATCACAATTGAGATATTTAACCCCACCCATGATATCTACAAGTTAAATAGGGAGATTCAAATTGGCAAGTTGCTTTATACTAAGTAACTATTGAATGGCACCCTTTCGCCTTGAGAAACCCCTCAAAATCAAATTAAATATACAGATAATAACACTAAAGATCACATGTTCCTTAACCATCACTAGTACTATGAATCAATTAATTTAAAGCTTAAATCAAGATTTATTCAAGCATTTTCAGATTATGTTTTTATGATTCCAGAGATTATTAAAGAGGAAGAATGCAAAAGTGGTGTATATCAAGAACACTTGAGTCTCGAATGTTAAAATAATATCAATATATAATTATAAAAACAGATCAAATATACGTATACAATTATACATACATGTAAGAAAATCACCTCTTTCAAAAGCATTTCTAATCATATGGATTCCGGAAATTCTTTAAAAGTTTAGGGATGTCATGTCCAAGCATGTCATCAGTGGATTGAATCATTTTAGGTTTCAACTTCTCAAACTTATCGATGTTGTAGAGATTCAAGACCTCTCGAAAGTGTTCAACGTTTGGAAAATCCCCAGCAGGTAGATGATGTTCCCGTTGAACCTGTAAAATGACAACACCATTGCAATGAATTAAACGGAGATACAAAGAAGATTCAACTAGACTTCAAAGCTTGTCTGGCTAAGCTTACAGAATTTCATTGTAAGGAAGTAAGATTTAAAAATAAATATTTTTCAATTCAATAAAGCTGGAAATAAGTTATTTTGACAAACCATTTTTACATAAAAAAAAAGTTGCGCAAACATGTTTGAAAAGTTTTTTTTTTTAGCCTAGCGAACCACGCTAGGTGGTGGTTTTTGTATCACGGTCATCAGTTCAACTTCATATATTTATCTATAACGTTCATAATCACAAACACGAAAAGGTGCATGAGCCTCAAGATATTGAGAGGGAAGAAAGAACCTTCGCAAATTCAATGTCTATATTATCGATAAGTCGCTGTTGGGCCTTTGCTTTGCCCATCATTACTGGCATCTCCTTTTTCAAATGACTAATAATACAAGCATGTATCTTGGCAGCCCGAGCACGTTTTACGAATTCATTTATCTGCACAAGGTAAAGGCATCAAAAAACTTATTACCTACTAAAGCACATAAAACTGCTGTATATATATTAAGCCCTTGTTTGAGCTCCATTATTTGAAAAATTTTGATTTTGGAATAGCATTTTTTGAAGAACGCGTGGTTAAAAAGTAAGGAAAATTTTTGGGTTTATATGTAATATTATTTTATTGAGAGAATGTGTGATTGATAAGAAGAGAGAGAAAAATGAATTAAAATTTAATGAGGGCCAAACATGGGATAAAGACACCAGAAAATAATGACGTTAAACTCACACGACGATCACAAGCCCTTTTTGGTATGTTTTTCAAATCAGTAAGAAGGTCATCTTGTTCTTTCTCGAAAAGTTCTTGCCCCATCGGACCAGTGGCAGCATTTAGAGGCTTATCATTAAATGAGCTGTCAAGACAGACAAAAACATGGAGTATGAGAAATAAAAATATCTAAAGAAAATAAACAGTAATCATAACCATAATAATAGTGATAAAGGGAAGATGAGGTGGAAGAGGAATAGGGAGGGAGAGAAAAAGGCCACCAATAACCATATAAAAAGTTTACGTCTATTATTTTTAAATATGAAATGCTCGAAGAGATGAACTATGGAACCACTATGTAATAAAGAGAATGGTCCTAAAGATTCTAGTATAAAATAGTACTGGATACATAAATAAGCTTCCATTTCTAAGCCACCAAGATTACAATGGATGGCTTCCCTTTCAAATCCTTAACTGGTAAAGCTTTAGACGAAGGATCTCAATGCATACCAAATCAAAATTCAAAGCTGATATGGTTTGTACAGGACTAAAGCAAGATTTCTTGCTTTCTCCCTCATATTTTATGTACAAAATATCTCATATGATATTGATTACAGAAAAAAATGGTAAAATTAGAAAGCATACCCAATATAAACACGCATAACTTCAGGAGTATTCAACACTTTCCCAAGGGACCACATTAATGCTCCATATACCCGCATAAGCTGCAATGAGAACCCAACCAGACAAATAACTAGAAAGGACGATGTTTAATCTTTGTCTATGCTTAAAGTAAAAGTCACTTTGAAGTAATTTTTTTATTTTCAAACATGTTAAGTATGTCTATTACTTCCAAGTACAAAAACTTATTATGAGAGTAACTTGTACCTTCTTATCAAAATAAGTAACAACTGATTTTGAATTTCAACCAATAAAAGAAAGATTATTTTAAAACATAGTTATTTACTTTCAAGAAAATGTTTTAAGCTTGCATGCTCGAAGTAGGATACATCATAAATGGACAAAAATAGGAATCTTAGGCACTATAAATTCTTCCTTACTTGCTGTGTATCAACTTGGTCAGCCTTGTTCAAAACCACGCGTATCTTATCATCATGACCACGGAGAGATGAAATGACGCGCTTAAATTCATCACTGATATCGAGTTTGTAAGGATCAAACAAAAGAAGGATGAGATCGCACTTAGCGGCAAACCAAGATGTTACGCCAGTAAAGTCGTAGCTCCTCTGTGATCTTTGTTTTTCACCAGATAGAACTCCTGGAGTATCAACCAGCGTAATATGCTCCAGTAACTTTTAGCATTCAGAATACAAGTAAATCTTAGGAGCTACAGAAATACATTTAAGAATTTTGTCCTCTCAAGAAAATTCAGGTTTGTAACTCACTGGATGGGGCATCTGGGAACACTCAAATTTTGACAAAAATACAGTTCCGAAAGTTGTCAGGCCACTGAATGGCATGTCTGCTTGAACTGCAATGGTGTTTCCAGGAACACTTCTTTCATCAGGTCCATTCTGTATGAGGAACAACGCCATGATGAACCCCGATACAGATACAGATACGAAAATGGAAGAACATATTCGAAGGAGCGATGACTTTAGAAAATTTTTAATATATTGGGCTTAGTAGGTGTCCAATTGAGTTGAAATGGCTTTACACAAACTCAAAAGAATCACCGTGACATGAAATGGTGTCTAATACTCTTAAGGGGGACCATTTGACTTTAAAGTTATTGATTTGATATTGAAAAGTGTACATTTGACTTCATAGTGTTTTTAAATCACTTCAAACTAGTATTTCCGGCTTGAAATGTGTCCAATTTAGTTGAAAAGTGTACCATATTAACTCAAAAGAACCATTCTGACATATCATGGTGCATGATACTCTTAAAGGGTGTCCATTTAACGTAAAAGTTGTTGATTAGACTCCGAAAGGTGTACATTTGACTGCAAAATGTTTTTAGTATATTTTGATAAAGGCTAATTAGGTGGCCAATCGAGCTGGGCTGCCAATAATTCATGCAAAGACAAAAAATTGGTTACATTCTATGAAGCCAGTAAAAGAAAAAACCCAGTTAGCCATTCAACTATATCGTGCCTGTTTAGGTATCAAATAGTATCAAGAGATAAAACCATTGAACTCCAAAAACATCCATTAAAAAATTGCACAATGGCAACCAAAAGACGATAAAGAAAAATCTAAATTTACCATGACAACCACAAATCTATCTGTCGTTGGCTCTGGTCCAATGTGAGCTCCTGTAAACACGTATTAAACTAAGAATTATATCCTGGTTAAAAAAAATGAAAATAAATGAATACTAATTTACAAGGAAAGGAGAAGAAGTATCACGTTACCAGGATAACTACTTCCCAGCAAATGTTTAATGAATGTTGTTTTCCCAGTAGAGTACTGACCCAAAAGCATTACCATTGGCTTAGCATCAAAGTCACTATTTCCCTTCCAACATACAATGCATTATCAGCAACAGTCAAGTCAATTAAAAATCAACTTTCATGACAATTATAAAATTATCCGAAAAGCAAAAATGGAATCAAGGACATTTTGGTATTCTTTTCACACACTTGCAAATGAAAAAAGATTAAATACTTACCAATAATGGAGAAACAAAGTCATTAAACTGATATGTTACTTCCAGGGGCTTCAGTTTCTGAACATACAACTTTTTCAGGCCATCCATTATCGAAGTGACAGAGTTCAACTGTACCAGACAGAATAAATGAGCGAAGGAAGCACCATTCAAGAAACCAAAGAACACATACAAAAGATGAAATCCGACTTCTTCCTCAAGCAATCAATATAAAAACAATGCAGAAAATGATGGATTGAGGTTGTTATTACAACATAATCATATATACCATAATCGAGTTCCTCTCGATCCACTTTGCTATTTGCATTGAACTAAAATAAACAACAGGAGGGAGATGGAGTGTGCGGTTTGCAGAATTAAATAAGAACGAGTAGTTTAAATGTTGAAGATGTTAAGTAAGCAACAATAAACATGGAAGAAATCCAGCAAACAAAGAATAAATCGTAACTAAGATTAAAAACACAGCATGATGGAAGGAATTGCAAGAAGTTTCAGTGAATGAAGGGTATCAATGCAAACAAAAGAAATGGGAAATTTTCTAACTACTTGCCAGATTACCTTCTTTGCAGATTTTGAAGAAGTAAACCAATTAGCCGATGTTGAAGATTGTAATTGAGGACTACCTGAATTATTGCAAATTAATAAAGCCAAAGGCTAATGCTAAATGAACATAGTATTGTGCATAAAATATCGCCCTATTTACCATTCTGATCAGATTCCTTTTTAGATTTACGCTTCTTCTGCATAAGATAAATAAACAAATAACCCTTAATTATAGTTAATATTTAAACTAAAACCAAAGTATATTAAAAAAAATGTAGTGAACATACTGCTAAGCGTGCATCAAGGCTTTCCATGGCTGGAGGTTGCAAGTTTTCAAAGTCACCTGAAGATTATTAAAATATTTAAACTATAGCGAGATCACATTATTATACAATTATACAAAATAAAAACCAAACCAAAAGTTCAAGCCAGGATCAATTCACCATCTTGAAGAAGTCTTTGTTAACCTTAAACATTACAATACTGAACTAAAAGAATCTGACCTCCAACATTTATAATGTCACTGGTGAGAGTATGTCCAGCTTGTGCCAAAGAGATTAGCTACATGTTAGAATGCTAATAGAAATCAGCTCTGTAATATTGATTGTTACCGAAATTTTCTTTAAAAAAATTAAAAGGAAAAAACAAAGAAAAGGAAAGGAAAAGGAAAGATCAGAACCTGCATTGCAGTAATAAATTCTTTATATCCAAGAAAGCCTTCCCTTTTGGAATCTGCAATTGCCCACACCTTATGAAAAAGAAGAGAACGGAAACTAAGAAAATAATACAAAAATTAAACCCCATTACTCACAATATAAATAGTAGAGAGTGCATGTGCAAATGAAGACAGTCACTTCCAGTTTTCAACAACGATTGGCAAACCCAAATCTTAACTAGAATCCATAGAAAATGTCTATGTATTAAATGGGAAAATTCATAATATTTGGTTATAGATGCTGCCAGCAAAGTATCAATATTTGACCCCTAGAGGAATACATATTGCAGGCAAGTGAATATTTGGCATATGCCAGACCACTAAGAACATGATTGAATACTTGTCAAGCCAGCGCAGAAATCTTCGTGTGGAAGCATGGAAACAGGAAAAGAACCATCTGGACTTAAACTGAGAATGATCAATGCAAAAATAGTAAGCTGACAGATATCTCAAGAACCTGATAATACTGCATATAATCTTCATAATCTAGTTTACACCACCCTTCTCAATAGATATTTGTAAATACAATCAAACTAAATAGCATTATTTTCATCTCCCCTGCGAAAAAAGTGGAAGGCAAAACAACCAGAAAAGGGAGAAGGGTGGGGGGAACAAAGAGCAAACCTGCTTTAAATCTTCACGAGGCAAATTAGACATATTAAAGAACTTCGTAGCGTCATTTCCTGTGAGACGCCCATCTCCATCTAATTACATTGATAAAATCCTTTGTTAATTCATTTAGCAAATTCAATTGAATGTGAATTTTTTGTTTTATATATGTCTTACCTGAATCAGCAAAGGAAAACCATTCTTGGTAAATCTTCTGGTGCTCCTTGGAGCACCGATTAATCGGCGCTAAATCGATCTCCATCTTATAATCCGAAACCCCCAAACTGTATGATTTTTATTTTCAAAATGCTAAAAATAACGGCTTGATCGCATATAACTGCGAATGATCCCCCCCTGTTTCGGGGAAAGACGGCCGTTCTGCCACCTTAACAATTCATTAAAATGTTCTCATCCTCTGATTATACAAAAATTAAAAAGAATTTTTTGAATTCTTCCTTCTTTGAGTAAAATTTCTCAAATGGCAAATCCAAATTACAAATGCTTTCATATACATTAATAGCTTCGGTTGGTTAGCAATTGACCTTATGATGCGAAGCAAGGCAGCGGCTTTGCCACAATGAGAAGCGAATTGCACAAATCGACCGTGCATTTCGGCAATACTCACTCTTGATTCACCATTAGTTTTCATTCTTCGATGAAGTGTATCCTCTACATTCATGTTATACGTGAAATGAAGAAAAGATTTTGTAGAATATCTTTTTTAAATCCAAGATGCCCTATATTCTATTTCAAAACAAAAAAAAAGGAAAATGGGAAAATTGCTACTGTAGTCCCTCATCTTTTGCAGTTGGTACAGAATCATACTCAACCTATTAAAAATTTGAGTCAAATGTTATTTTATCAGTAGGTTTGGTAAACAGGGCACACATTCTTTAGCTCATGAGCTCGGTTCGTCTTTGTGGGATTCGAACCCGGTTCGAATGGTGCTCCTATAATTTGTGAAATCGTGTTTTGGGTGTTGCAACTTTATTAAAATGCATCTTTAACCAGATTGTAACACGTGTTTTAATTTGCATCGTTGGATCAGTTTCTGGAGATTTCTACTCTTATATGCCTTTTCATTTTGGCATTCGTCTGCTAGGGTTTTATTATTTTTCTCTCTAGTTACGCTGTTTGAAAGGAATTCTATGATTTTGGTTCTCTCTTCCGTTTCTTCTCAAATTACTGATTTGAGATAATTGATCTGTACTAACTAGCCTCTGTGTAGTGATATTCTGAGTGAATATCCATGAGAAAGTGTGTGTCCTTTCATGTTGCTATTTCTAAGATTTTGAAGAGATTCTTTGTGAATCTTATGGATTGATTGTTGTATATAGAGAGTTACGTGTTCTGTTATGTACTCAGTGATTTGGTTGAACATTTTGTAACATTTGTTACTATTTTGGGCTATATAGTAGAATTGGGCTCAAATCCAATATATTGAATGCTCAACGGGGATGTATGCTTTAAAAATGTTCGCCGAACCTTTGGGGATAAGGCCAAAAGAAATCGTTTTGTGTTTTCTTTAATGTTCTACACTTTATTTTATGAGAAGATCATTGTATCTCTGTTTCTCGATTTAATATTGCATGTTCTTGGCCTACAGTCTTGACTCTGGCTAATTTTGAGACGAGTTATGGTCCGCGTCGAGCTCACCTTTTGTCCATTGAACTATTCATGATTCCATTCCTACATGCAAACCATAATATGAGTTTATAATTATTTTATATCTCAACACAACATCTGGTATCACCAACATAAGAAGAATCACGATCATAGTACAAATCAAAGGACTTGACAATATTACATATACAATGTAGCAATTTCTATGATACAACTTCCATGTAAAATACGTCCTCGATAAATTAAACCCAAAAAACAATGATACAAAATATACAAAAACATTGAATGAATAAACAGCCTCTTTACAAGCTCAATCACTGATTTCTCAATCTTCACTGTGCAGACTGGAATCAAGCAACAATTGATTACGCGCTGACGGTGAATTCCTGGAACTAAATGCGCAAAGAATGATCGACCGGTCTCCAGTCGAGTAGTCACTCCTTCAAGAGATTCCTATAGTCTTCCCTAGCAACCAAAGTACAAGGGATAACTCTATCCCGAATATGGTGCGAAGTGATGTTCTGTCGAGCATGAAGCCATATACTGTAATGCCAGCTCTATTATTGTCGAAGTAAGTTACTACCAAATATCAAAACAAAAAATTATCATAAGAGGCACCATATTTATTGCATGTTTTGTACACAGTATTAGATAGTCAAATAGGAAGTTAAAATTTTGAGAAATTACCCAAGGCTTGTCTTTTTTGAAACGAGATGGTGCTGAAGGCATATGACGGGAGGAATTTGGTGTTATCCATTTCATCTTCTTCATCACCAACATCATCGATATCAGACGAGGCATCAGAACTCACAGGAAAAACTCCATTTCCAGCCACCGGACCAACTGGAGTCTCATTTTCGACTGTTTCAAATAAGTCAATAGTTGCACATACGTGCCACTTGGCAGCTAGGCAAGTAACCGATAGTGCCTTATGCGTAATTCTTGTTGCACTTCGCAGTATAATCATAAGCCCGGCAAGAAGGCTCACAGAGCATACAGCGAGTTCCCCGGTTTTGTATATGTTAACATCTGCGCTCGACCGTGTAGTCATCAGAAGCGATGCAGATTGACTTACCGTAATGAATACCAAAGCCCACAATATGAATGTTCTGTACCGATGGCTTATAATTCGTAAATGCCTCCTAATCCTGAGGTGTTCTCTTAAAATGGATTCAACGTCGTAATTAGATTGGAAAACCCGAGCAAAGTCTTGTAGACAGAGAATCTGAAGGTAGCATATCAGACGGAAGAGAACACACACTAGAAAAAAGACCACCGTTCGATAGAACCATGAGCATAACTCTAGGATGCACGCAACAGTGTCGCTCACGATGGCATTGCCCAAGAAAGGTATGCGGGTTCCACCCGAACTGTACCACCATATCTTGTAAGCACTCTCAGCAGCAAAACAGGGAAGGACGAAGATGAATAGGATCCTCAGTGACCACTGCATGTAGAGAGCGAAAATTGATTATAACTATGTAACAGAATATGTATTAGAAAACAATGTACAATGAACGGGATTTTAACTTGAGACAGGCAGTGAAATATTCTTCCATGGCGAGTCAACATCAGATTCAAAAAACCGTATGCATTAAGTCCCAATCCACTGCTAGAAGAGCAATGATGAATCGAGTGAAATCAAGAACCCACAAAGCAAGCACATTTGTCACAGTTTTCTTACTACAAGAGCTAGATCAACTCATTTTTTTCACTGTTACTGAAATTTGAAAAGAAAAGTATTCAAAAGCAACACAAATTTGTAGAAAACTTTCCATCAACGCGAGAGCCACCCAAGAGTTACTAATCAGTTAGAGAACTACTCTTTCCCTCTAATTTCCCCATAATTTTTTTTTTTTTTTTTTT